GGCGAGTGCTTCTTTTAGTTAGGACATTGCGTTGAAACCCAGGTGCAAGCACCATTCCCACAAGCTGCCACTGTTTCCTTGAACAAGGGCCCTTAACCCCACACTGCTTCACAGGCGCCGCACAATGGCAGCCCACTGCTCCCTAAGGGGGATGGGATAAATGCGGGGAGAGAGAGCTACTTTCATTCCTATGTACTTATGACAAAGTAGAATTCCATCCTAATGAGCTGGAATGGCCTTGGTCCTTCAGTCTGTCTCACCAATACTGAACCTCGTTCAGCACATAGATCCAAAAGCAATGCTCTATGGAGTCTGATCAGCTGATAAACTAGACATCATCCTGGTTTAGGAAAAATGTCCTCCAAATTCTCCTATTTCCAGTCTCCAGTATAGTTAAATCCTCCACTTGCACCATTATACACCAGTGGTACTAAAATATTTACAGTAATCCACATGGATTTCTCACACCTTGTTACATTAATATATTGATCTGTGGTACAACTCACCCCATTGATCGCTGTGGAGAAGAATGTTATCTTGAACACCCTATTCTGCACATTGCCGCCATGCCATCTGATATTCTGTCAGTTCTTTTTATTTATATTATAACTTCTGTTTGGCATTCAGAGCATAATACAAATGTTGGATTGTAGAAACCACAGAAAAACGTTTCTGGACTTCCTATATGACAATAAACATGGACTTTTAACCTCTCTGCATTCGATTTGTACTCAAGAGGTGAGAATTTCCTCCAAGTAGGACATTTTAACTGGAGATGCTCCTGAAGTTTCAATTCCAAGTCAAAAGTTGGAATAACACAACAAACAAGACTTCAGAATTCAAGATGGCATTAGCAGTAGGTATTCTCTCATTATTAGAGCGTTTGTAGCAAATCTTTATTCATTATAGAAGATGAAGTTAATTGTTCATCCACTACTTTTAATTGTGCATTGAAAAATGTTTTAGTGATGTTGCACAGAACGCCTCAAAGAACCGTGTTATTGTCAGTTATGGTTTTTAAAGTGGCCAAATACCAGCAATGAAGATTATGACCCACCATGTTTTTTTTTTTTTTATTACCCTCGGACAGACAGGGAACTGGAACACGGACACCTCAGAGATCTCATCAGTCAGACATCCCGGGTTGGAGAGAGTTGGGATGCAGCCTGTGTGTGTGTGTGTGTGTGCTCCAATGCATGCTGTTGAGTGAGAACCATTTGCTCGTTAGGTTCGGTTGAGGACCAAGGAGAGCATTATTTCCAGGTTAGGGTTAACTATGTACTGGTTAGGGTTAGTTAGACCAAAGGGTTAAATAGGAATGGAAAGCAATTGAAGTCAATGAGAATCAAAGCAAGGTCCTCCTTATAAATGCTAAGACATGAGCAGGAGTGTGTGTGTGTGTGTGTGTGTGTGAAGCTCAGGTGTGTAAATAAACTCGAAGCAGCTTCATCTTTAAATGGTCTCCGTTTTTACTTCATAGGTCATTAGTTACACATTTGTCCGTTCTCAGACCCACAAAGAGGTCATGATCTTTAATCAGGAGCAAACATGGCTGCCTAGCTCTGCCCCAGGTTACCATGGAGACAGCAGGATGGCACCACGTTTTTTTTTTTTTTTACTGCACAGGGTCGGGTGGGGCCTCAGCTTCCTGGTCGCTCGGCCCAGACATCTGCATGAAGAGCTCTCGCAGCTCTGTGATATCATCATCTAGGGTTGGCATGGGTGGGACCGTACGCTGTTCTCGTTCCTCGATGAAGTCCCACAGACGGACGTTGTTCATGAACTAAATACAGAAAACCGGGTCAGAAACCACAAACCATCGCAGCTCATGGAGAACTTCTATAAACTTCTAGCAGGTTCGTACCCGGACGTTTCCCTCAGAGCTTAGCTGTTTCCGAGGTCGGTCCGGTTCTGCCAGTCTTCCATCGGGGAAAGCATGAAGGTACAGACAGTTTCCTTCAAAGGGACACGTTCCGCGACCCTGATCGAAGTACTTACAGGCCTTCTTACTGCAGACAAAGGGGTAGATCAGGGCTGATTCTGATTGGCTGAAAGCAGGGGGGCGGGGTCATCAGGAACCTACCTGACACCTGACTTAAAGAGTTCGATCAGGTGATCCTTCTCCTCCTGGTCCTCCACCCAGTAAACCGATGGGATGACGAACTCAGAGATGATCCGACATTCTGGACATGACCTGAGACACAGAGAGAGAGACACCCTGAGACCGCCTGACAGAACCTCTACAGAACCCCCGAAGGAGAGCCTCTACAGAACTTTCTCTTCCAGCTGTAATATCTGTTTCTGAAACAATTTTAATGAAAGTTTTTGTTCACAAACAAGGAACTGGACATTAGTTCTCCAGCTCTAACATCAGATCAACAGGACACGCTGGAGGGACTATGTTTCTCGGCTGGTCTGGGAGCACCTTGGGATTCCCCCCAGAGGGAGATGCTTTTACTCCTTTGACTACTTGTGTTTACCACCATTATATCTTATATATGTATACATTTTTTTTTTTCTTTTTTTATCAACTCTGTTATTAAACTATCTCGATCAGAAGGAAACTGAAGTTCCCAGAATGATAGAACAATCCAACAATGCTTCTTTCATTTGTTATTCAGAAGCTAAATTAATGAATTGGTGAATTATTTGAGTCAAATCCACCTTTAAGCAATAAAAAATGTTAGTGAGAATGCAGGTAATTATTTTTAAAGGAATTTTGTGCATTTCCTTAATTATCTATAGTGCAAAGTGCAAATGCCCAGAGAATATGTGCATCGTTTAGAATGATTGTTGTTGCCTCCAAATGTCCCAAAAAAGAAATAAAATAAACCACTTGGTTTATTAAGAAATTTGGTTCATTAAAAAAATAATAGATTTCAGTGTGCTTTATTTTCCTTTTTGTGTGTGTGTGCTTGTGTGTGCGGGGGGTAATAACTTTCAGCCTTAGCTTGCTTCCACGGCTGTTGCTGATTTTTTTGTTTTCTCCAAATTCCCATAAAAGTGAGATGTTCATTAGTTGTTTTTCTTTATTCATTATTAAACTGTGAAATACTAATGATCAATTTTGTTATTGTAGTCATCTAAAAAGCAGTAATGTTTTTTAAGCGCTCGTTTCCAAAGAGCATTTTGCTTTTGACAACTTAGATCAACGTAATTCTTTAAGTGTTAATTATGGCAGTTATGTGGTGACGTCTCAGCAGCGGGGCAACCCACTCAATGAGGTGTCTACGTAGTCCTATCTACGTCACATGTCGGGTTCCAACTCACTTGATGATCTTGTTGGAGAAGTTCCTGGTTAAACGCCACTTCCTGATGCAGTTGAGGCAGAAGGTGTGGCAGCAGGAGGACAGGATCCCGAACCTTCGCTCCGACGGTATGGCCTTCTGGACAACCACCTCCATGCAGATGGAGCACACCTGCAGCAGAGCCAGTTAGCACGTCTGTCATCATGGTAACCAGCTCAGACCCTCACCACACCCACCTTGCCCTGGCTAAGCTGAGCTGCAAACGCCTTCTCCATGTCAGCCTCGAACGCCAGCATGCACATCTGAACACAGAAACCCACGGTGTTAGGTTCTGTTCCGCTCTGGCCTCCAACAGAACTTAGCTCTGTAGACACACCTTCTCGTGAGCTTTCCTCTGCTCGGGATCATGGGGGTGGAGCACTTGCAGTCTGCACACCTCACACAGGTCGCCGTGGAGATAGGGGCAGCTGTCTTCATAGTAACAATGTCCGGCAGCGGCATAGGGACAGAGTTGGTAGACCCCGCCCATTGTGTTAGACACTGCGAGAAGGACAGGTAAACAGGAAGTTAGCACATCTTAGTAAGAACATTGGCCAATCAGACGGCTGTGTTGAAGGCAGACCTGGTTCTGAAACAGAGCTATCCAACCCGGTTCTTATAGCATCCCGGTAAGAATGCGGCGCAGCGGCTGCCTCTGGTGCCAATGACTGTAGCCTTTCCGACGGGCCTCCGAACGCTCGGTCACTGCCCAGAGCTGAAGAGCAGAGATGGTTCTGTTAGTGGAACTGGACTGTGAGGTTCTGACGGGAACTAGGGTCAGCGGTGTAACAAACTGTCACCACAACTGCATCATGATGCAGTCCTGTGACACATTTAGTTCTTAGGAGCAGTTTGCTACAAATTTTATATTTTTATATTTGGGGTTTTTCCTTCAGCGAATATGAAGCAGACTGAACTGTAACCAGGAAATGTCTTAAACCATTTAATCAAATTTGTTGATGCTCTAATGAGCCACAGGGAAGAAAAGAGTAAACGTTTTCCAGATAAGGTTGGGCGATGTAAGGAAAATATAATATCACGATATATATTTGTGCTATAATCGCACAATATACGATATATATCAAAATAGGCTTAAATCACAAACAAAATAGTGCATACAATTGCACAGATATACTCATTTAAACCTTTGCTTTCAAATTTAAGACATTTTATTTCAACCACATTTTCACAAATAATACTGCCACATTATGTCTTTGGGTGTCAGTATTAGACCGTTAACAAGATCCAAGCAACCAAATAGAATACAGTGCAAAAACACACAATACTAAATAAAATGTGAATAAACGTAATAAAAAGCGTCTATGTTTCCCTCCATCTCTTCCTTCTTCTCTTATATAGGATAAATTTTTCAAACAACGGGATTGGCTTCACAGCTGATTTATTTAACGTTTTATTTGGTGTCCAAGGAGACGCTGACATGCCGATGACTTTTAGGTGGTGGAATAAATTTGTACTGCTACCTTTTGCAAAAAATGTTTTTTGGCGGCTCGTCTTACAAATTGGTGCCTTTTGTTCGACGCCCTCGGTGTGAAATCCAAACCACTGCCATAGAATGCTTAGCTGAAACACTTGCTGTCGCCATGTTTTGGCAGGAGAAAATAATCCTGTTTGGAGGGAGGCTTAATGATGCATTCAAAGTGTGTGGGAAAAATAAAACTCTCAGTGAAATAGATGCAGATGGCTTTGTGTTGTCAGGCAAAATTTGTACTCAATGGTTGCGATAGAGTCATTTTAAATATTGTGGGTGGGGAAACTTGAGATACATGGAGTATATGCAATATATCACCCACCCCTAATTTCAGTGTTTGGAATAACTGCAGCCAGTAGGAAATTATAGTAAATTATTATTTTGAAACCGAATTCTGATGTTATGAAATGTTCCACTATAGTGATAACAGTCCCTTTACACGTCCTGACTGTAAAGCTGGAGCAGGTCACTGAGCCTCCAGGTGTGGCTGCTTCATCAGTCAGGTGTTCCTGTAGTAACCTGTGGGTCCAAGCCCCTCCCACAGCAGTGAACACAGCGCAACCTTCATACTTTGTTTATTACCTCTGTCTCTTAGGACCATCGGCTTCCGCCCTTCACCTCTGACCCCTCTGCCTACACCTGCCTGGCCCTCCGAAGCTCCGCCGCCTCCTCCTCTGGAAGGTTTCACATGATCATACCTGCAAACAGCAAGGTGTTTTTATTAGCCGTCAGGTTATAATGTTAAAGCTGTAAAGTAAAGTCGTTACAGTATCAGAGTTAGAGTCGGGCCTCACCTGCAGCGCTCTCCGTAGGCACAAGTTCCTCTCTGATAGTATTTGCAGATGGTTGAGGGTTTGCTGTTGTTCACATCATGAGAGAACATACACTGGCTGCCCTCTCTGCAGACACCGTGGAGGAAATACCTGAAACACAGCACATCTGGAGGTAGGACTCATCTGGCATTCAGCTGAGCTTTAAGCCACTGAGTTTAGAAGCAATGCAAGTTGCGCTGAAACAATTAACTGGATTGATCGTGATTAATTGATTATTCAAATAATCGTCAACTAATTTAGTAATGGATTAATCCTTAACTGGAGTTTAGAGATTGTAAAATATGCCATTAGGTGACATAGAAACCCAGAGCAGTTATTGAAATTGTAAAAAGAATCTTTATATACATTTGCATTTAACATAAAAGCTTTTTCATCTGTCAATATGCTCCATTCAGAACTCCTGAAGTTTAATCGTTTTAGTTTCACCTGGTTTGATTTCATAAAAACTTGCTATCCAATTAATCAAAAATATAATAGACAGATTAATCGACTTGCAACATAATCGTTAGTTGCACAAGCGAATATCCACTATCAACATAATCTCATCCCAGAGAAGCAAACCCTGCAAAATCAATGACTTTTAAACATAATATCACGGATTGATTGACTTTAAAAATCTCACAGTGGAGAAATGTACTCATTACATCAGCTCAAATTGTCAAAAAGAGAAGAAGAAGGTGCCAAAGGAAGAAAAAGGTGCATAGGATACACACAGTATATACAGTGCATCCACATATGGCAGTTTTTTTTTTTTTTTTATAAATAGCAAGATTTATTATACAGGGCTATTGCACAATGTGTTTACATGGGTATTATATATATATATATATATTTATATATATATATATATATATATAGCTATTGCACTGGGTTGAACTGGTTAATAATAATTTCTGCAAAGTACCGTAAGATAACAAGTGTTTTTTCATTTGGAGACATTATAAAAAATAAAAAAAAAGCGGAGGTAAACTGAATCTTTATTGGACCTTTTTTAAAGTCCCACCAGGATCAGATCAGGTCCAGTTCTCCAGAGCTCTGCACCTACTCTAAAGCACCAGGACAGGATCACAGCAGTACCCAGGGTACCAAACCAGACTTAACCTTAAATTAACATGGACCCCTTGAGCTAAATGGTTTTAGAACTGCCTGGTTCTGACCTGTGTTAACATTTCAACCTCTATCAGTGATGATGACGTCAATATGATCCAATAGGTCCGGACATCTCCAGCACCTGGATGACATCTAGAACCAAAGATCCAACCTGGTGCTAACAGCGAACGGAGCACGCAGTGATTTCTATTGTAAACAATTGATCGATGAACCGATCAGATTAGCAGCGCGTGCTCACACAGAAGAGCTCACACAGCGCAGCTAGCGGCTAAAAACATTAGCGTTAAATAGGCGCGTGCGCAGCGACACGACTACGCTAGTAGGGCAGATAGCCGAGGAAGAGGCGAAGGAAAGTGGGGGACAGAAACACAGCCACAGTGCGGGCTCACCTGCAGGTCACCTGTTTGGTGCTCATCTTCGTCGCGGAGTGCGCTCAGCTGCCGGAAGTGTCCTACTGGTGTTCCTCTCCAAGAGCTCCGAGTGAAAGCAGCGGACAGAGCAGAAAGGTTCCCGCAGTAGCAGAGAACAATGCCGCTCTGTGAAACTTTAAAAAGGCTCCTCGCTTTAACTGAGCCTAAATGCTTAATAGATAGTTGTTGAGACTAATGGAGGGCAGCTCCTGCCCCAGTAAGGAGGCGTTGTTCTTCTTTTTTATGAAGATTTATTGGCGGATGGCAAGCAGCCAAATTTTGCATTTACCGCCACCAACTGGTAAGGAGTGTGAATTACAATGTCTATGTCTTACTGAAACTGACAAAATAAAAAATAAAAATAGAAAAAACAACAACAAAAAAAGCTGTGATTGGTTTATACAAGAAGCAAACAACAAAGAAAAGGAATGTTCTCCTAGAATCAATGAAAATTAAGCATTTATATAATCTACCCTGGATTAAGAAATGAAATATGGTTTTAAAAATTGTCAAAAAGCACAAAAACAATTGTTATTTGAACCAATAATTTCCATCTTTATTATCTTAAATGTGCATATTGCAACCTTTATTATTCATGATGGCAATTTTTTATCATAATTTATTTGATAATAATGTAGACTAACCTGTCAGTATTTTAAGGGGATTGTTTTTTTTTGTATAAAGCCACAAATCAACCATGAAAGTGAAAAAAAGGTAGAAAAACCCAGAATTAACAGAGAGACAGGGTCTGTCCTAGGTGCTGCTGGAGGAGCAGAAAAGAGGAGCTAAAGGTACAGGTAAAGGTTACTGTATTGTAGAATTGGCTTCTATGTGTTTCTTCTATAGATATAGAATGGATATTATTGTAATTTATTTTGTCTTGAATTTATCTTTTTATATATATATATATCCTTTGGTAAATTTTGTGTGACTTTGTAGTCAGAATATTCATTAAGAATACTTAATTTATTCAGATCTAGGATATTCTAGTGTTCCCTTTGTTTTTGAGCAGTTTAATAATGTTATAGAAGTTTATGTGCTAATTTACTGCACTGTTAAGGTGACATAGCATTTTATCAGTTCTCTGTTCCCCTATCTTTGTCTACTTCATTCTCTCTTAGGCTCACTAAGTCTACCTTACATTAACCTAACATAACCTAACATTAGTTCATTTTAAAAGCTTTCTGATAGACATTCTTTCTTAAAATTTCTCCAATTCCAACATTTTCCTAAAACTATGTCACTGAACGCTACTTTAGTCCCAGGATTCTTTGTGAATATGGACCCTGATTCAGTTAAAGCGTAAGTTCATATTGTTCACTGCTGTGAGATAATAGAAGACTGGTTTGATTATATGGAAACTGTGTAATGTAATTCCCTTTATTCTCCCACAGTTGGGAAATTCACTCTCTGCATCCATCCCCTTGGGGAACAGTGGGCTGCTATTGTAGTACTTGCAACCTGCTCTTCACCACTAGGCCAACACTCCCCAAATTGACCATATTAATACTACCAATATAATAATAATAATAATTATAATAATAATAATAATAATAATAATAATAATAATAATAATAATAATAATAATAATATTAATAATAATAACTTATTATTACTATCTTTTTAGCAGCAGGACTGTGGTTTGGGCCTGAACCATGTTTGGGTCTGTGGGCTGCTATTCCTGTCGTCATGTTAGTCAGAGATCAGATGTTTTCTCCTTTCTCACTTGGCTGACTTTCACCTATTCAGTTCTGGGGTTGGTAACTCCAGTAATACGGATCGGTAACCGGGGTTACCGATCCGTATTACTGGAGTTTCCATGTTAAAGCTTTGGTTTCTGTTTCAGATGAATCTGAACCACCCAGGAATTGGATCTCTGGCTGTTTGCTCTGGGTTCCTTCAGGGTGCCTGTTCAGGTGTGCTGGTTTACCTGTTGCTCCAACGTTAAAATCTGAGATGATGAAAGACTGAGGAGGAAAGTGTGACATGTGACTCCAGGGTCTATCTCTGTCTGGCTCATTTGATCTCACTGATCAGATCTCTGACAAGTGAGATGGAAAAAAATTACCAATGAGCAAATCAGGAGGCAGTTCCTGAAAGCTTGCATGTCTTTGCTTTCTAAGGTTTAGGATCATTTCAGAGTTCCTCTCATTGTCTGGATCAGAACCAGTAAACATAAAAAAAAAAACAGTTTTCAACCTCAGACTGGTTCTAAAGTTAAACAAGCTCAGTAGGCTGGACTCTTTTTTTTTTTTTTTTATAGTTCCTACGTGCCCCTTGTTTCCTTGACAACGCTGCACACACAGTCCAGAGGTCAGCTGCTCAGACTGACTTGACTCCAGGTGAAACAGGGTCACATGACCACAGCAGAACACCTGATAGGCTGGAGCCAGGGTGTGTGATGTGTTCCAATAGGCTGTGTCCAGGCAACACTAATAGGAGGAAGAGAGAAGAAACTTAAGAAGAGGAGGAACTGTAGTCAGACAGACTGACGGAGGAGCTGAGGAGGAGATGGAGCGGAGCGTCATCCACCTGACCCATTGTCAGAAGGAGATCTTCTGCTTCTCTGTTCCTGAGGTGTGTCCGAGCTGTGGGGAGGAACTGAAGGGCCGCAGGCTGCAGGAAGCACCGGTGAGCCTGCCCTCCCCCTTTACAGATGGACATAAGACCTCCTGCTGCCTGCTGGTCGCTCCTGCACACAACAACCTGGACAGGTAACAGCAGAGCCCCCCCTGCACAGGTACCCTCAGGTCAGCCTTCAGTCACAGGGTTTATTCAGACATATCTATGGTTAACTACTGCTAGAACCCAGTTGGTACCGCTGAGTCTGAGTAGAAACAGGTTGGGGTTGGGGTGGTGGTCAAGGTGTTGGAGAGTGATTCTTTTCATATTAACTGCCATGAAACAGTAGAGAGAATTTTTTTTTTTTTTTTTTACCTTGGCTTGCCTGAGTCCAAAAAGCAGTTTGGATCAAGTATGATCTGGTCTGACAGCAATCCAACCACTATGTTCTTCTCTGTCCCTCAGAGACTTCAGTGGGACCTCAGATCTGCACACTGGCATCTCCAACACTAAAGGTATGAAAATCTGGGTCCAGGTGAGGAGTCCTGCATGTCATCCTGGTGACGCCGCCAATGTGAGTCTCACCTGATTCCACCTGTACTTATATACAGGTGTGGTGTATAACTACACACAGGATGGTGTGAGGCGAGATCAGAGCGGATGGGCCCTCTGTGTCAGCGTCCCCCTGGTACGGCCCGACATGTTCCACCTGCTGGCTCAGTGGGATCAATATCTAGAGCGATTTTCTGAGGGACCAACATGGGACCCTGTATGGCACAAGTACGTTTAAACCTAACCTTCCCAACACATCTGTGGCTCCCTCTGACCCACCTATCCTCCTCTTTGAGCAGCTGTAGAGTCAGACAATGTTCATGGAGGTGGCCAGGCAGGGAGCGATCACATGGAGACGTGGCTCAAAACGGATAAAACCGGAACCACGTCAGGGTGAATCCACACCGTACAAACAGAAAAAATGAATGAGCAGAACATCCATATTTTCCAAGTAAATCACTCCAGACAAACCAGATTTTCTTAAAAACCCTTGCTAATAAATATATACACACATATTTACAAATCCACAAAGTCTAAATTAGAGATATAGTTGGATTCAAAGTGTTTTATCTCTCTGGGTTTAATGTCTGAGAGGATCATCTTTTCTATTGGTTTCCCCACATGCTAGTCTTTGTTACATGCTCACCAAACACCACTGGCTCTTGTTCCAAAGCATACTTCTAGTGTTTATGTATCATGTTAGCTTTGGTTTTAGTCCCTCATTGTAGCTCCACTGCTCTAACTCACTGTATATTTTGAAAATAACTGAAAAGGACAGAACCAAGGTACAAACCAGTGACTGTCCATATTCAGGACAAGCTCCTGCTATCCAATCCACTGTCCCCACTATCTAGGTGACTTGCATAGTCCCATAACTTTGCCTTCTTCACCATAAAACACAAACGCTTATTCTGAAAAGAGCTAGAATTCTGTATTTATTTTTATCTTAGAGGTTAGTATGATTATGTAAAAAATAACTACTGTGCTTTTGATGAGAGTTTATGGTTATAATACTAAAAATTAAAATGTCTAATCAGTTTTTTTAATCAAATAAACATGTTTACATCAGACTTCACTGTAGCAATTAACTAACTCATTACAACTTTTAAGTGTAACAGATTTGAGAACAAGCAACGTGGCAATAAAACAAAGGAAACAAAAACAATGCAAAAAATAACACGAAAAATTAAGTTAATGGAGGTAAGTGTGTGGAATTAGTGTATAATTTGAGAGTTGACATTTCTGAACTTTGTCCTTCTGAATAAAAATGTTTGCCTATAAAAATAAAATGACAGGGATACAGAGTTTCTAAATAATTTTTCCCCATCATTCTTTATCCCAGCTGTGGTCACGAGGGGTGCTGGTGCCTATCTCCAGTTGTCTATGGGCGAGAGGGGGGGGTACACCCTGGACAGGTTGCCAGTCTATCACAGGGCAACACAGAACAAACAACCATTCTCACACACACTACTAAGGAGAACTTAGAGAAGCCAATTAACCTAACATTCATGTTTTTGGACTGTGAGAGGAAGCCGGAGTACCTGGAGAGAACCCACGCATGCTCAGGGAGAACATGCAAACTCCATGCAGAAAGACCCTGGGCTGGGAAATTAACCCAAGACCCTCTTGATGTAAGGCAGTAGTGCTACCCACTGCTCCACTGAACAGCCAAGTTGTTATTTTGTACAGAGATTTAATCATCTGTTCAAAAAGAAGCCAGTGACGATGACATTTTTTATTTAAACAAGTAAATCTCTCAAAAGTTTTTAATGGTCGCTTAGAAAAAGAACAGGTGGTCAATTCTGAAATGTCAAATAGTTTAGCAAAAAAAGTGAGAGTATAACTGCTGCCACCTTCTGTTTGAGAAGGAAACAGTTAGTTATCATGGCGATATCCAAATGGGAACAACAAATCACCTGGTTGGGGCCAATGATTGTTTAAGGTCTAATGATTGTCCCCCATCACCTGTCTGTGTGTTTCAGGTTCCATGAGGATGAGCACAACTGCTTCAGCTTCTGTCTTCAGTTTTTGAACAGTGTCCTGGAGCTGGAGGGTCAGAGCATTCTGACCCGAGAAGAGTTCACCCAAAGCTTCATCCTGCCGAGGATGAGGAGGGTGTCCAAGTACACAACACTAATCCAGCACCTCCAGAAACACCAATACTACATGGTGGACAGACAGGAGGAGTCAACGCCCAACAGTTAAACCAATGCCACCTTTCCTTTAACCAGCTTCTTTATCCTGAAACAAAAATATCCTGAAACAATTGCAGACACCTGGGATGATTCTAGATGTGCAGACATGTGAAGGGAGCCTCATGGATACACATGTTACTTCAGGATATTTATTATAGTGTTGAACAGTGTTTACTTCATGGGTTTTATTTTGGGTTTTGTACTTCTGTGTAATGTTCCCATGCAGGGCTTGTTTTTCATTAAAATTGGTTTCTTTTGAAAATGTTGGGGATAAAAAAAACAGCTTAGAGTGGATTGTTCCTCACAACATAAACACAGTTTTCATTGTTTGACAGAATGTAACGGGTTATACATTTTTAAAAAATGTGTCTTTTAGACTTCAAATGATTCCGAATCTTTATGTACCAGACTCAGACATGCTAATGAACTTTCTAGTTTATCTAATTATGATATCTAGGTCAGGATATACAGTTATCTTGTTCATTATGTATAGAACACAGATTTGGAAATGAAATGGAGGCACAGACAAAGTTGATATTTCTAGAAATTTTTCTGTGAAATATATATTTTTTTCTCAGAGAAAGAAAAGACGTGGGTAGGAACTGTTTATATAGTTATGTTTCCAGTCGGACATAGATTATGTGACACCGTGTCTGCACGCTTAGACACATATATATCATGGATATCTATGCTTAGACACAACAAAATCGGCTAAACTTCTTTCTGGATCAGACTCCAAACATCGCAAGGACAGACATAGAGAATGCAGGCGGAGTTCCGACCTCCCAAGAGGAGAACCCGGGTTTATGAGGACTACGAGGCTCCGCTGCCGCTGATCCGGAACCTGCAGGAGAGGAAGCATTACCGGGGAGAACTGATCCACCGGCAGGTCCTGGTCTGCCATTCAGATGACATCCAGAACATCCACAACCAGGTTGGTTTGGTGATGATGGTCCACTTAAACCACGACTGATTTGCTCAAGATCCAATAAAACACTAAATAAATATTTTTTTTTCTAGAGTAAATGCATTTTTTTCTTTCTTGCATTGAGGAAATAAGAGACACTCTGCCAATGGAACAACAAAATTTACATTAAAAATAAGAAACAATTGAATTTTCTGATTTCAAGTGCACATTATCTAATTTTAAGAGTACGTGTACTCATTCCATTGGCAGTCATCTTAATTACCTTCTCAAATTAAAGGTAAATACACTTAATTAAGAATGTTTACTTATTTGTAAATTGTTTTTGGAGAGAACCAGGAATAATTTGGTCCTGATCCAATGAAACCAGGAATTATTTGATGTCAATCCAATAAAAACAGGAATTATTTGGTCCTGATCCAATAAAATCTGATCTTATTTGGTTCCCATCCAATAAAAACAGGAGTGATTTGATCTGAATCTGATAAAACCAGGTCTGATTAGGGTCTGATCCAATAAAACAATATTTAGCTTCATTCTAGGTTCTGGACTGGTTCTTCTTACCCTGTTTGAACCAAGGTGTTTGACTCTAGAACATCTCACTTTGTGTGATCTTCAGTACCAGGTTGCTGAACTTCACACTAATCTGACATGGAGGTTGTTCTCCACAATGGAACACGTGGCTGCCACGGTCCAACCGTAGGAGCCTTAATCTTCAAACAAATGGAAAATAAGGATTAAGCAGACAGTAACACACAGCATGGATCGTTCAGTCAGGCTTAGTTAGCGTTAGGATTCACTTCACAACTCTTACTTTAAAACCATCAGCAGTTGAATCAAAAAGCTTCTTCCTGATAAACCACAAACAACACATGTATAAATATCTATTCTAACTATTTCTTGTCCAAGCAGAAAATTAATTAAAAATTAGATGGAATTAGGGAAAAGATGTTCACTTGTTGGCTCAGTGGATTGGAGGGGGTAGGGGTTTGGTTCCATTAGGCCTGATTCTACTCGGTTGGTTCGGTTCTGGGGAAGAAATTTGTCTCGATTTGGCTCAGGAACACGATCTGCTCATCCAACAGGCAGCTCACAAAGACACTTGAAATATTCTGATGCAAACAACAGAAGGAAACTTTGCAGGGTTTCATTTTGTCACTCAGAGTAACCTTAAAAGAGGGAGTCACCTTAATGCTGTGGATAGCTTTGTAGCAGCGGCTCAGACTGCGGCAGCAGTACAACCAGAGCTGTGCTGCCGGCTGTTCTGTGGGTAGAACAGAACTGGGTGGTTTCTCATCTGCTTCAGCAGAAAGATTCACAAAACACTTTCAACACTACATTCAGCACCTTGTGAATTGTTGGCAGAGTGCAGTTTTCTTCCAGCGAACACCGACTCTTCTCCTGAGGGGTTTTGGTGGCTACAGCGTAGCCTCAGCTGAAAACTGGCTTGACTTTCCCCTGAGAACCTGAGGCAAGAGGAAGTCGAATGGAGTCAGCTGCTTAAGTAGACTCAGTTTTCAGGGATGTGGTGTCAGGTGGGAGTCGCACCTGCTTACATCATTGACATTTGATCCTCAACACCACATATCAGTATCAGATTGGATTGGAAAAAATTTAACAGTGCATCTTTAATGACCCGATTAGTAAATCCTTTTGGAGCCATTTCTCCCTGTTTTAAGTAAAACCCCCGCTGGTTTGACATAATATTGATCTTCAGAAGTACTTAGTGGATGATTATTGATTTTATGTTGTTGGTTTTATGAGTGTTATTTTAGTTTTACTTACTGTATGTAGAAGGTCTTTTGTAAATGAGACTGTAACTCTTCCTGTAAAAGTATATGACTGAATAAATAAATAAATAAATAAATAAATAAATAAATAAATAAATAAATAAATAAATAAATAAATAAATAAATAAAGATTGTAATCCTGCAGGCTGCTGCAGGATGCCAGCTGTTGTCCTGTGAAGCACTTTGTGCTTGCTAAGTAAACATTGATTGACTGTTTCAGGGTTATTTCGGTAAAGGACTTCTATCCAGAGCCCGGCCAAACCACAGCATCTCTGACCAATGGGAGCGTGAGTTTCCACCTGCTCAATGACATCTTCTTCAGTCAAGTCTGATTCCTGCTGCTGACTGTTTTCACCTGACCACTGTTTCTGTGTCACAGAGCACAAAGGATTACTTCTACCTGTCATCTCTCAGTCTAGGTAAGTGGCATCACATCCCGTTTACTACATAGTGAGGTCACATCCTGACTCCAAGCTGACTTTTCTCCTTGAAGTTATAGGAAAAAAAAGGTTCTCTTCACCTGAAAAACTTCCTGGATGAGCATAAATGTTTTAGTAATGTTTGAAATCCTTCCAAATCATAGAACCAGCTGTTTGAGAACTCTGTACTGCTAGAAATCACTGCTGCCTTGGACACAGTAGACCACCACAGATCCCTGTAAACCTCAGTAGATCCTTTATTTCACAGCAGGAGCAATAATCAGAGGGTCAGTTCTCCAGCAGAGGAAGTCCTCCCTCTCTGATAGTTTTTCACTTTGTGTTGGTGACTGTAATTCATCCTTTGCTGACCATCCACAGGAGGTACCACAAGGCTCTGATTTTGGATCACTTTTTTGTCCTTGAAGTTTTTGTGTTAAACAGTTTTTTATTGAGGAATCATACATGAAAATCGAAACATCAACAATACACATTTGTCCTCTTTTTTTATGTGAACAAAAAACATAAAGACAATACAAAATCAAAACCAAATGAAAACCAAACTTACATCTTATCACACAGAGAATCAAAACAAATTCTCTTCAAATAGAGTTATTAATATATTGCTGAAGGGGTTGCCAAGTTCTGTTGAATCGCTTTAAATTATTTGCTAATGAGAACCGTATTCTTTCCAGATCCTCCAGCCATAATTTAACCAATGGAACCTCTGATTTTTTCCAGAACATCAACACTAGCTTTTTCCCAATGATGAAGGCATAAGATAAAAGTTGTCGTTGGTATTTATTAAGTTGAGAAAACTGAACAGAAACTCCGAGCACAATCAGAAATGGTTCCAGCCTCAGCTCTATTCGAAGCATATCTGATAAGGTTTTGAATATGCCAGACCAAAATGGGGTTAATTTTGTACACAAACAGTAAGAATGAAGAAGTGTGGCTTCTTCAATATGGCATTAGTCACACAGTGGGGATGTATTAGGGAACATTTTATGTAACTTCACCTTGCAGTAATAAAGCCTGTGCATAATTTTAAATTAAATGTCCTTGAAGTTTTTGTTACTTTATTCTACAGAAATATGGGATCTCCTGTTTATAGGGTGAAGTCCATCGAATCTGTTTCCTCACTAAGGAGTCACTCTATTTAGCTTATTTTGGAGTGTCTTGGTGTTAAAATAGACGTCAGGATTGCTAACTGCATCAGGTCTGTGGAAAAATCATCATTCTTCAATCTTTTCTTTTAACCAGAATCATCCAGGTTTCTCTGTCAGACCCTAGGCTAGTTCAAAATGCAGCAGCCTGTTCATTTTAAACTCTTTCTATCTTTTTAATGGCTTTGAACAACTTATCTGTGCAACCTGCTGCACCATCAGGTCCACTAAGCTGTTGTTTTTAAATCTTTGAAAAATGGATCTGTGCAGCACTGTGGTCGGTCTATTGTAGACGTAGACTGATATATCGGCCGTACGATATCTTCGGCCAGTATTAGTGTGTTTTTATTATTTTCTTGCATGCAGTGTCTGGTTCATCAATACTTTCAGCAGCCATGCTTTCAGATCATGTGAAACACGTGCATGTTTGCTCCCTTAATTTGCCATCTGTTGTTAAAGTGTTGTAGGATTTGTCAATAAAAACATAGTTTTATCATCTTGTTGTGATCTTGTCATTTTTAACATTTAAGTGGAGAAAGAGGAAGCAATATTAACCTAAAGAATTGGCCCCCAAAAACTCGGCAGCACGTATCTGGCATCAGTTTGACTGATGTCAAAATCATGGGCATCGAGCTCAAACTAAACTGTATCAGTCGAGCTCTAGTTTGTTGTGATGATTTAGCTAAAGAAAATGTATAGGAAACAAGCCTTTCACATCAGTCAGTTTTATTTGTTTGTTGTCCTATTTAAAGGAAACCTCCTAAATCAGGTCTTTCCCATCAGCAGTGCTTAGCTTGACTGTTAGAGGTTGAGATGTTTTACCGTACATATTTCTTATTTTTTTCTTGATTTGATCAGGCGTGTATAATTATTCATTGTTATTGTTTCATTTTCAAGCTCTAGGCTGTTTTGATGTATCCAAAAGTGCTATATGAATAAACCCAGTATGGCATGTCTGACCCCTACAGGTATGAAGAGCTGCTCAGGTGGGCAGAGGCCGATCTTTCCTCTCAGGGATTGGATGAAGAGGCTGTCAGTCAAGCGCTGCTTGCTCTGACTGAGGCCGTGGAGTTGGAGGATGAAAGGAAGGAGGAGGAGGGTGGAGGGGAGGTAAAGGAGGCCAATGGAGTGAAAGAAGAGGAACCAGGGGGAGGAGCCTGTACTCAAATAAGGGGGTTAAGGGCGGAGCCAGAAGTAGAGCCAGAGACTAAGAAAAACTGCAGGTGGAGTTGATCGATTCAGAAGCTATTCAGACTGGTTCTGATGGAAAACGTAAGCGGACCCTTTTCATGTCAACATTCAGGTCCGTCCAACTAGACTCAGAACTGGACTCCGGTTCCAGCTCTGACTCCGACCCGGATCCAACCTCTGACTCTGATGCTGGTCCTGGTCTTCATATTCCAGGACCAGGCTATGTCCTGGTGGAATCAGAGACTCAGGTGAGTCTTCTACTGAAACATCTGCTCCTGCTTTTTTTTGTTTTCTTCTCAGCTGTTGTTTATGTTGTGGTGTTTGTTTACAGGAAGGGGGTGGAGTCAGGGAGGTGAGGCGGAGTCCTCTGGCTCTTACAGAGTACCTGCAGCTCAGCCTGGAGGAGGTAACGCACCTTTTTAGGAAAGTTACTCTGGTTTCTGCTCACCTGCCTGCCTGTCCTTCTCACCTGTTGGCTCACCTGCCTGTCCTTCTCACCTGTTGGCTCACCTGTCTGACCTACAGGCCTTCTTCCTGGTCTACGGCCTGGGCGTCCTGTCTGTCTACCTGCAGCAGGTGGGTGTCGCTCATTTGGATGTCTGATTGATGCGTTTTAATTCATCAGGATGTGACAAATAATCGTGTCCCATGATTGGTCAGGAGCCCCTGTCGGTGGTTGACCTGTGGAGGAAGTTGCGATCACTGAATCCAGACTTTATCAGCTCATATGCTGCATACCATCACTTTCGAAGCAGGGGGTGGGTCCCTAAAGGAGGAGGCGGGGCCAAGTACGGTGTTGATCTAAGTAAGACATAAAAGTCGGAGCTACAGACTTTGAATATAATCAGAGTCTTTGGTAACCATAATTATCTCCCAGTGATGAGTCTGTGAGCTTATTATGTGTGTTTTTTTTCTCTTGTTCTGGCGGCAGTGCTCTACAGGAAGGGACCGCCGTTCTACCATGCCAGGTAACGCACACAGAGTCCAGGTCACGTTTCTGTGTTCAGGTTTTTATTATAGTATCGAGAACTTGGTTGTCGGTTTTGGATGTATGTAGGAAAACATTGCTGAACTTCATCTATTGCTGCGTTCAGACCAAACAGGTGATGAGAGTTGAAAAGGTGTCTGCCTTAACCAAATACTTGGACACATTGAAGTCAAATGCTTGTGAGCATTTAGTATCCTTTGTCATTCTCNGTGTACGACGGCAGATGCAATCAGGAGTAGCTTACCTTAATTTGCTGTAAGGAGTGAAAAAAAGTGTTATTCTAAGATGTTTTTCTTTAATTTCATCCAGATTATGATCCTACTTTCAAATATTCATCCATCCATTTTCCGTCACGGTTATCCCAAGCGGGGTCGGGAGGGGTGCTGGTGCCTATCTCCAGCGGTCTACGGGCCAGAGGAGGGGTACACCCTGGAGAGGTCCTCAGTCCATTGCAGAGCAACACAGAGACAAACAACCATTAACACACACACACACACACACACACACACACACACACACACACACACACCTAAGGAGAATTTAGAGAAGCCAATTAACCTACAGTCATGTTTTTGGACCGTGGGAGGAAGCCAGAGTACCTGGAGAGAACCCTTGCATGCACAAGAGAACAGGCAAACTCCATGTAGAAAGACTCTGAGCCGAGAATCGAACCCGAAACATTCTTGCTGTGCTACCAGCTGAGCAGCCCAACTACTACTACTTTTTACATATTCTGTTCTGTTTTCCTGAACACCAAACCTGGGAATCCCAACTGAAAACTGCAAGAACCACAATATAAAATTGACTCCTCTGAAAGTTTTGGCTTTCATCATCAATTGTTTCACCACAGTTTAGATCAGGCATCCCCAAACTCGGTCCTCGAGGGCCACTGTCCTGCAGGTTTTAGATGTTTCTCTGCTCCAGCACAGCTGATTTTAATTGATAGTTGATTAACAGGCTTTTGCTCTACTGCAATCATTATAATCAGCTGTGCTAAAGCAGGGAAACCTCTAAAACCTGCAGGACAGCGGGCCTCGAGGACCGAGTTTGGGGATGGCTGGTTTAGATTAAGAAAATATTATCGTGGAATTAAAACGATCAGAGCGCTGCCATTTCTCCCACGTCTTTTAATGTGAGCTCTTTCTTTAAACCTCTATCTTTTATGAGTTGTAACCCCTTTATTGATATTTATGTCTGGTTTTATGCTGCAGTACTNATCATCAATTGTTTCACCACAGTTTAGATTAAGAGAAAATTATCGTGGAATCAGAGCACTGCCATTTCTCCCACGTGTTTTAATTGGAGCTCTTTCTTTAAACCCCTGTCTTTTATTAGTTGTAACCCCTTTATTGATATTTATGTCTGGTTTTATGCTGCAGTACTGCAGAAGGAGAGATCACGGCTTGGATGCAGTTACTGTCTCCCAGCCACTGATCAGCTTCTATGCTTGATTGATTGATTTTCCTATAGTAGCATCTCCTGCTTTTGATACATTTGATGCATCTAAATGCCTGAAAACTGAAAATAAGATGCATAAAACACATTGTGGACTTAGCAACGCCGCTAGATGCTCATCAGCTGCAGACTTTGCATATAAACCAGACACCCATGGTGCTCGGAACATCTTCGGTCTGAATGTAACGTTAGTCCAACTCAGAGAATCTTCTTCTCTTGTAAAACAAGGGTCTCCAGCTTTCATCTCTTCACATCCGCTGTGTGTTGTTTCTTATTTTTTCCCCTGTCCTCTTCCCATAGTTACTCTGTGGTTGTAGAGAGGACTGATGAAACTTTTGCGGGCATGGCACTGCGTCCGTTTTCCTGGCGTTCTCTGGCAGCTCTCAGCAGGATCACAGCCAATGTCTCCAAGGTAACGCTTCTCCTGTTGCTGCTTTATGAGTCTGCTGCTAATCTCTTGATGATGGATCCTGATTGGTTCTCAGGAGCTGATGCTGTGTTACATCATCTACCCAGCTGACCTGTCAGCGGATGACTTGGACTCACCTGAGTGCCTGAGCAGATTGAAAGTTCAGGTAACTCTACCTATCAAAAAAAACATGAGCCATTTGGGCAGATCACCATGGTAACAAAGTGCATTGACACTGTGAGCTAAAAGGCCCTAGAGGCGCTGTTTAGCTGGGGCTATGAAAATAGGAAAGACTGAGAATGTTTCTATCATTTTAGAGGTGTTTTACATTATTGTATGAGTTTACATGTGATCTATATTTATTACTTGGTTTTTAGAAGTTATCACTGTAACATAATGTTTGAGATTCCTCCATTTTAAATAACCTGACTGGACCTGTGTCTCAGTGTTTTAATACTTTCTGATTGGACTTCCTGGAAGCAGTCTCAGGTTACAAACTGAACTTCCAGGATGTAGGCAGTAAACTGAACCAGAACTTCTTCAGGTTATGACCAGCCAATTGCCCCTCCCCTAAACCCAGTTTAGCATGCCGCAGTCCCCCCCCTATTTTCCTCCGAGAACTGCACACCTATTAGTTCTCAGCAATTGCATCTTGGTGAGGTCTTCATTGGTCTTCAGCTTGCTCACCAGCCTGGCAGTGGGGGGATAATGCCATAGTTAACACCATCCCACCAGGGCCTCTGAGGGATAAGCTGGGACAGTCAGGAATGAACCACCCCAGGATTAACGCTGAAAGCATTTGGGAGCACATAGACGTGTCTATCAAAGGTTGGTCTGATGGATGGCAGCACCTCAGGACCCCATGCATGAAGCAGTTATAGAACGGGATAGCTCCTTCAGTGACAAGCTTTTGCATCCAGATACACAAATGAGCGCTTCCTAAGATCCTTCCTCCCAACGGGCTCAATGTTGTTTACAACCATGCTGTTATTAACTCAGATTTTTAATCTGGTCACAAATAATTTTCCCTCATTTGCATTTTTTTTTAGCTGCTGAAGTCTTTTTGCTATGATCTGCTTGATGCACTTCTTCCATCTTTCATTAAAGCAGCCACTGTTTTTCTGTCCCTTTGTTTTTACCTCAGTGATTTTGCCTTTTTTATGTTAATATTCCTTTTTCGTTATTAGCAGCAGTTCACTGTGTGCTATGATTTTATTGAAGGTTTAGGTTGAAACAAATATGACTGATGAGCTGCTACGTTTGTTTACCACTGCAAAATGATGTGTCCAAGTTTGATAACCAGGATGATTGGGCTGTTTAAGTACCTGAGAGTTGGCAAACTGATAAGTCACTGAGGTGCTTCGAATGGACCTATAGGAAGCATTTTGGATGCTGGTTTATACCAATTCCTGAAAAAACGAATAAAAAAAAATTTATTTGTCATCTCATACCATCAATATCTAAAGTAGCACCAACGAATGGCACCATGTACCTCAGGGTTATTCATTTGTTATCAACCACTATAAAGGTTTGACTGGAGGATAAATGGACAACATATTTCTAATGTCTTATTTTTCTACAGGAAGTGATCGTCAGCAGGTGGGTTTCCTCCAAGGAGCGAGCAGAGCAGGACGACATCTGATTGGCTGATGGCAGGGGCAGCCCAGTGATGATTCCAGATGGAGATAAGAGGAAGCCACTCAGAAAGAAGATCATTAAATTATTGGGTGAAGGTCTGTTTCTGGGGACAGAACAAGAGTTTGCAGAGGAGCTGCTTAATGATGACAATCCAGCAGATGTTCACATCGGAGCACCCATCCTGATTTTCATGTTGGGGTGTTTGACTCGACATTTAAGGAAGGAACCGTGTTCTGAAATCCTGCTGTTGGTCACCCGTGGACCCTGATCCGGAGCAAACGCTGCAGGTGCTTCTATCTAATCAATAGAAACTGAGAACTCAAACCAGCACTGTGAAATTATACAGCCTGTTATAACAGAACATGTGTTCAGGAATCCACCAGAGAGGAATTCAGATTAGTTTATTTATCCCCAAAAGGGTATTTAAAAAAAAAAAAAAAAAACTGCTTTTGTTTTTTTCTATATAAACCACTGGATACTCAGCCGTGAAGCTGTTTTCACAGTGGTAAACATGATATCATATGGATGTGAAACGCTTACATGTATTTTTGCTACAGATATTAAATATGATGCATCACCTCTGAAAGAAATAAAAAAAAAATCAGCTTCAGTCTTTTTTCTTTAGGTCTAAATGACTACAACACCACAAGTAAAAACAAGAAACTTTAGAGATTCTCCTTTTAAAACTGCACAGAATTTCTAAAAAAAAAAAAAAAAAAATGTCTCACAAACCCAATGCTGGGTTACTGATCCTATCTGGTTTTAATTTTTAACCTTCTGGAATATGTGACGAGCTTTATTTCATGTGCCGTCGCTTTTTTATCTCAAGCGCAATGTTATGTTCTCGCAATAAAGAAGTCTCGCGATATCTTGTGGGGTTGCCATTTAAAGCAGCAGTAGCGAAGCGCGAACTCCGGGGCTGAAGATCCGTTATCCGGATAGAGGAGAGACGGTCACCCGCACACAGCCCACCGAGCTGCCCTGTATCCAGGTAAACCTTCACCCTGCTGCAGATAAAAGCCCCAGTCTCATGGTCCAGCAGTGGAAGCGCCGGCGGGAGCGACGCCGTTCTGGAGGCCTGGCATTGGTTTTTGTTAGCCGCTAGCTGCTGCTAGCTGCGGAGCTCTGCAGCTTCTGATCTAGCTGCGCATGCGCACAGCCACCAGCACACCAGGTTGGGTCTGTTAGCGGCTAACTGCTAGCCGAAGCAGATCAAAGAATGACTTCCAGATTCAAAGTCCCGATATGCTCCCGGTCTTTAATAATAACCTCTCTATGGCTGCCCATCCCGAACCTTGAAAAGTTGGGATCTGGAAATCCCAAACCCCGATAGGGGGCTGTAGAAGAAACAAGAAAAAAGTGACAATTTAACCGTTCTGTTTGTGACTGAAGCTGCATTGCGTAGCTAAAGGTAAACGAGGGAAGCTCAGGATGCTGGGACATAAACAGTTCATTAACGTTTGTCTGAAATCTTGTAAGTTTTAAAACGGTAAACCAAATCCCCCCTCAGCCAGTAGCGCAGTGGTCCCCAACCCTGATCTTCAGGGAGCCTCTTGTATTAGGTGTGTCTTTTGTTTCAGCACACCTGATTCAAAAACCTTTTAATCATCCATTATTTTCTGGTGTGATGCATCATGGAAACAACTAAAACATGTAGGAAAGGGGTCCCTGGAAACAGGGTTGGTAACCCCTGCAGCAGTGAAATGTGATCTTCATAGTTCAATTAATAATCCCCATCTGTTGATCCAACACACAACCAGAGCTCACAGCAGATCTCATCACTTTTCCTGATCCTAGATGTTCTGTTCAGTTTTTTTTTTTTTTTTTTTTTTGTTTCATTAGAATTCAGTTAGTTATATTATTGCTGCTTCAAGTCCAGAAGTCAGCTCATCTGGATCAAATTAGTCCCTTAATTGAGTTGTTTGATGTTTAGTGCTGAAAACAGGAAACTGAGGCACTTCCTTTTTGCTACCGATGGATCTATCAGTGTCTACAACCACCCACACCCACCTGTGGGTCTACAGAATCAGCTAACTGACTGAGAGAGGTTCTGTTGATTGGACTCACCTATCAGATGTATCAGCTTCTCTGTGTGTGTCTTTGTGTAGCAGCATGATGGCGGATGACTTGGACATCGAGGCGATGCTGGAGGCTCCATACAGAAAGGTGAGAATCCTCAGACACACCTTCCAGGAAATTCTTCAGCCCCTTAGGTGTAAACATTAGATGTGGAACCAGGAGCCTGTTTCCTGTTCTGCTGCCACTGATTAACAGGTTATGTCTTTTATCAGGATGACAGCAAGAACCAGAGCCCTGATGGACCGGAGGAGCACAGCAAGAGGTGGGACCACCTGTGTGTCTGCTGATCCATTTATTGGCTTTAATGACAACACTAAGTTTTGTCAGCTGACCTGAAACAGGTCTTTAAATGTTAAAGCTGAAACTGTCTTATTTTCAGCACAGCTCTAATAGAACTCTCTGAGGTTCTGGTACCAGATTTTTACTCTGACTTGATTGGTTGCCATCTGTCTGACAGGAAGAAACGTAGCCAGAGTCGCAGCAAAGACAGGAAGCGCAGCCGCAGTCGGGAAAAGAAAAGGAGCCGGAGTCGAGATCGCAAACGCAGCCGTAGCCGAGACAGACGCAGGAGTCGCAGCCGGGAGCGCAGACGCAGTCGCAGCCGAGAGCGGGGTGGGCGCTACAAAGACCACCACAAGCAGTAAGTCGCCTGGTTTAGTTTGTCTCATGATGTACAACAAACCTGCTCCTCCAGCTTCTGTTGGTAATAATGAGACGGAGAAGCCATAGCTTCATCCAAGAAGAATAGTTTTTCTTTAGGTTCATCATAGAACTGGTTCCTGGCCAGCATCTGAGCGAATCAGAAACCTAACAAACTGTTTTTTTCAGCCGCAGACGATCGAGGAGTAAGAGTCCAATCAGGAAGGAGAAGACACCACCCAGGTGAGAATGATGGAAAGATGGAGTGTTTCTCCTTGTCCACACCCTGTTAAACTGCTGCTGTTCTGCAGGCTGCCTTTAGACAATCTGACCCCAGAGGAGCGGGATGCTCGCACCGTTTTCTGCATGCAGCTTGCAGCCAGGATACGCCCACGGGACCTGGAAGAGTTCTTCTCTGCTGTTGGAAAGGTATCCAATGTCTCTGACTCTCTGAATGTGTTGAGTAGTTTGTTCTTTTAACGTTAACATCTGCAGCAGGCGAGCTCAGTGTCAGCTGGATTCACTCTGGGTCATTATCACCACCAGACATCATGCTGCGTTTAGTTGATCCAATGCTACGGTTGTTGGGTTACCATAGTAACATATAGGGCTGAAACAGTTAGTGGGATTAATCACAAATAATTGATTATTGAAATAATCGTCAACTAATACAGTAATTCATTCATTGATTAAGTATAGTGACTCTATCTATGTAGAGTCAAAACATGCCTTTAGCTGGCAGAGCGACCCACTCAGAGCAGCAATTATACCAAGATTGTAAGATAATACATAAACATTTTGCATTTAAGATAAAGAAAGGAACAATTTAATTCTTCAATATGGTCAATCCAGAACTCCCCAAGTGGAAAAGTTTGAGTTTCACCTGGTTTAATTTAGCAAAAAATCTTCTTTAAAGAATCTCTGAATGTCCCATTATTAATCCCAAAAAATAATTAACAGATTAATCGTTTTGTAAAATAATTATTAGTTGCAGCTCTAAACATATACCTCCCCCACAGGTGCGGGACGTAAGGATGATCTCTGACAGGAACTCTCGCAGGTCAAAGGGCATCGCCTACATCGAGTTTGTGGAGGCCAGTTCAGTGCCTCTGGCCATTGGCCTGACGGGGCAAAGGCTGCTGGGTGTTCCCATCATCGTACAGGCCTCCCAGGTACTCAAACATGCGCTTCATCCATTCCTACTTGCGCACACTCACGGGTTCACACACACATGGTGTATTATAACCTAAAGGGGCCACAATGTATGATGGTTCACAGAATATGGTGTAAAATGCCCAGTGTAAACAGACCTTTAAAAAATATTTTTTGTAGTTTGAGTTTATCCATTTTCCTCATTACGTTTTTCAGTAAAGCATTACCAAGAAAAGAACCACCTCAACGAGACCACTGCACCTCACTGTGTGTGCATTTCGATCGTATTACATTTATTATCTAGGTTAGTTTTGACCATCTCTGTTTCATATGGGCTTCACAATTTGGTGTGTTAAAGGAGAAGCAGTATGTAGTCTATGCTGGGTCCGTCCAAAACACAGACCTAAAGCATCAGCTTGCATAGATCACTTTCAGACTAGGCCTTAAGCATGATTACGTGCTCAAAAGGCCCCCTGCACGACTGAGCGACCTGGAGGAAAAATACTAATCAGTACGGGTTACATTGTTTTAAGCTCAAAGTTCAGACTTTCAGTGTGAACAGGAACACACCTTAAGCAAGACTCTCAGGATCATAACAGAATCGGCTTGCTTCTGCATAGCTAAAAAAATATGTGATCACATGAAATATGTTTGGATGAGAGGATAAAAATAATTGCATCGCACCTTTTTATATGGACATAAATAACCCTCGGTCAGTGTGCCTCATTCAAAATAACTTAATTCTTACAAAAGTTCACATGGATTACTAGCAGATTGACGTTTGGCATAAACAACCCCTCATGATTATAATTTTATTCGGCAGGATCACAATGAAATATCTTTACATAAAATGACTGACATGTTTACATTATGCATTTTTAGTCCCAAGTGTGTGAGAGTGACTATGGAAGCTGCAGAGGGACATTCTTTTCTTTCTGTATGGACACATCAGCCTCTGTCACTCCTGTCAAATCCGCTAAAATAAACAATAGAAAAACAAACTAGCTGCTGGAGGAAAAGACTAGTTGCTGGATTTTATTCCCTGTTTCTAACATAACACACAAAAAATAAACCGCCACTGTTATATTGAATTACCTTGTTTTGATTTTCTCCACCTGAAAATTTATGAGGGGCTATGTATTTTGTTTGGGAGGGAGCTATGTTTCTTTGTTTTTTTTTATCTACAAGCTAGAAATGTCCCCAGATTTGATTTCAGAAATCTATTCACTTTACGTTAACATGAGGCAAACACAGAACAGTAAGTGCTCTGAAATCTGGCCGTTGTTTTTACTTGGTGTGGGCAGGGTAATTACTTTTTTCTCCACAATATCTTGTGAGGACCCACTGCTAACAATTTCTTAGGTTTAGAACTAACATGCAAACAAAGTTTAGGTTTGAGTCAGCTGAGATATATACTGGTAATGTTAGTGATCTATGTTAGGCCTTAGAAATGAATTAAACATGAACTGAAGTCATTAAAAAGACATACTCAAAGATGGGAAATGACCGATGTGTTTGTGTTTACAGGCAGAGAAAAACCGAGCTGCTGCTGCTGCAGCTGCAGCCAACAACCTTCAGAAGGCGACGTTTGGACCCATGAGGCTCTACGTCGGCTCTCTGCACTTTAACATCACTGAGGAGATGTTGCGAGGGATCTTTGAACCATTTGGGCGGGTGAGACACACAGAGTGATAACCTCCTCCATCCAGGAGTTAACACAGTTCATTCTGATGCCTGGTTTATGTTGGTCAGATCGAACACATCCAGCTGATAATGGACAGTGAAACGGGGAGATCTAAAGGCTACGGCTTCATAACAGTAAGTTTGTTTCCTCCTAATTAATAGAACATCAGAACCAGGTGATGAACAGGTGGATTGTGATGTTAGTTTGCAGACGCAGAGTGTGCTAAGAAAGCTCTGGAGCAGCTGAACGGCTTTGAGCTGGCAGGACGGCCCATGAAGTTGGGTCACGTGAGCGAGCGGACCGACATATCCACGGCTTCATCATTCCTGGACAACGATGAGCTGGACCGGTCAGGAGTGGAGCTGGGCACAACGGGGAGACTGCAGCTAATGGCCCGGCTGGCTGAAGGTGAGGCCACGCCCCTTCTCTCACCCTGTGACAGTCAGTGTGAATCTGACATCTGCCGATGTTTACACAGGTACAGGAATGCAGATCCCTCCTGCTGCTCAGCAGGCTCTACAGATGAGCGGAGCGATTGCTATTGGAGCTCTGGCTGCTGTGTCAGGTAACACTATCATCACTGAAGGACATCACTTCAGCTGGACATCATTAAATTAAAACATGAAACATTGAGCTCTGACAATCTGTCCATCATGTCAGATCAGTGAAGGGGATGTGTAGATATTCTGAAGTGAATATTAATAGTAATTGCAATCATATCATTATATATAGGCATAGCTACAATAGCTCATTTATCGGGCAGCGCCAGGTCAGATGATCTGACCTATCAGATAATTTGCACATGCTGTATGTAAACCAGTATTCAACTTATTTATGATTTATTGTGGATAGATAGTAAATTAAATAACATTATTTCCCATCTGATTAAGTGATTATCTCTGGAAGGAAATTCTGTCAGTGTTGTCAGGTTTCCTTTGTCCAGTAAATGGTGTTGCTGTTCATTCTTAAAATTAGCCTCAAAGAACACAAAGGGCAGTAAGTCAGAGTGACAAACCCTGTCTGTTAATAATTTTACATCTTTTTTCACTGGAAATTAACATATTTCACATTCATTTTTTTATAAATATATCTAAGTTTAGACATGTATTTAAGTTTATTCAGTCTGTATTTAATACAGCTAGCACAACAAATTCGTAAAATATGATTAAGTTCAATTTTTTTTTTTTTTGTTGATCAATAACATTGATAAACTTTAAAATACTTGGTCAATCACTAGGTTTAATCTGTGTGAACGGCAGGAGCCGGGGTTTTATTCCTCCTGCAGGTGCTACAGGTGATCTGTAAGCAGAAGGTTGGAGCAGGTGATCTGCTGTTTAACCGGTAAAGGTCTCTCATAGTTTTCTCCTGGTGTCTCTTCCAGCTGCCATGAATCCAACCCTCAACATGAACATGAACACTCCAGCCCTGAATCTTCCATCTCAACCACTCGCTACTCACTGCTTCCAGCTGTCCAACATGTTCAACCCCAACAGGTGAGACCCACTCATGATTCACATCTCTTATCATCCCTGCTGATCAACCCTGGGATGTCAGTCTGGTTCTTGATTAGAATGAAAGCTGGTGGCAGTAGATCTTGGGTTGAGCACGATGGCTGCTTTTCTCTGATGCCAACTACGGCCTGGATGTGTCCCTCAGAGTCGGAAGGAGGTTTTTCACCTGGTCGGTTTTACACCTTGAAACAATCCAGCTTGTTTTTGGTGTCTTTGAGGAAATGTTCTGCTGATTTGTTGTCTTTGAGGAATTAACCCCCAGGTTTACCTCTTCGTCTTACTTTGTGTCACTGAGCAGGAGTCTTCAGGCTGTTGAGGTGACGTTCTCCAGGAACTGAACTAAAATGGAGATGCTTCCTCTCATTCAGCCTTTAACCTTTAGTTAAAGAACGGGTCCATTCTGACCCGGACTCACTGTTCTGCTCTGCCCTTTATCCTCTTACTGTGAAAGGTTTTACCTCACAGCTGATGGGAAGCGAGACAACAGGAAGTGATGAAGGTGGACTGTGAACATTGTGTTCCAGCTGAGTGCATGTGTGTGTCTGTGTGTGACAGAGTGTGCGTTGTGTTTCAGTGAGAACGCTCCAGGCTGGGAGCTCGACATCCAGCATGACGTCATCGAAGAGTGCAACAAACACGGAGGGGTTGTCCACATCTACGTCGACAAGAACTCATCTGAGGTACGCCGATGACCTTTGGGTTTACATTTTATTTTAGTTATCAGATAAAATTTTTCTTGTAAATCGCTTTTCATGCCACGGGCAATACAAAGTGTTTTACATAGTTATAAAAGCAAATGCATAACAAGATAACACATGCACTCATACACAACATCTGATACCTAATTGTTATCTTAACTAAAAACCCTAAAAAAATGGAATAATTTAACTTAATGCTGCTGTGAGAAAAGGATAGGTTTGGGATGTTTTCACACCCATTACTGTAGGAACCCCCAAGATAATATAAATAATGTAATAAAGGAATTCAGAGAATGTGACCTTAAATAAAATATAATGGAAATAAAATATAATGGAATAAAATTGAATAAGTAAATTAAGATCAATAAAATTTTGAGTGAAATTAAAAGGTTAGGCTAAAGCCCTGAATACACCAAATCCATTGTTCTATCTTAAAATCGACAGGAAATCGTGTTGTACGAGGTCTTGGAGTTTAGCGCTCATTGGGAGTTAATGGGGATGAACACATCCAACTCGATTTCTGCATGGGGCTTGCATAGCTCTGACTGCGATGGACCCCAGGTCTATTTTAGTCAGACTATGGAGCAATTTAGCAGCAATTTCATGGGTCTGACAGGAAGGGAGTCGCAGTTAAAAAGTAAAACACATCTGCTTGGGGGGAAATGCAAAGTAAAACCTGCCATTTGCACGGGGGAAAAAAGTCCTTTTTAGAGTCACACAGCACACATATTGCAGGGGAGGCAGACCTGTGCATAAACAATCAAAAAACAGAGGGACTAAGTGGTGATCCTCTTTGAGCCTTGCAAAAACGACGAGGGACAGTAGTGAGAACGCAGCTTATCTCTTTCCCTGGGGGAGGAAAAAAATAAATTCGACAAACTTCAGGAGAACAGGAAACAGATATAGTAAAACAGTGATCCTTTTTTAGCGTCACAAAAAAACAAAACAGCGAGGGGCAGAAAGTGGAGCTTATCTCTGTCCCCCTTTATGAAAAAGAAAAGGGGGAAAAAAAAGACACCATATTGCTGATATCAGGACTGTCACAGAAACCACCACCAATCTACTTGTTTGTTAATAAATTACTAGTGAAGTTTATTCACAGGTAGTTTTGAAGAATCTGTTAATAACAGGAGATAATAGTTATAATATTATTACTGATCCTATTGACTCACCCTAGTTCAATAGTAATAAGGTAACTATGGAAACTGGACGCATTGTCTTGTTCCCTTTGGTCTTGGGGAGTGGTGGCCTAGTGGTTAGGGAATAGAGCTTGGAATCCTGAGGTTCTGAGTTCAAGAAAGACCCTTAACCCCACACTGCTCCCCAGGCACCGCTCAATAGTAACCCACTGCTCCCAAAGGGGAAGGGTTAAATACAGATGTAAATTTCTCCAATGTGAGATCAATAAAGTTCAATTATTATTATTATTATTATTTAGAACCCCTTGTTACTTAACTGCATTTAAAAAAAAACTGCAATTATGGAAACTATGGAAAGGAATATCTCCTCTGGACCAGAACCAACATTGTGCTGAATCTTTATCTGACCCAGACACTTTAGCGGCTCTTTGCGTCACATATTTATATAAATCACATCATCTCTTTATTAGTCAGAAAACTCAAAGGCAGAACCATCCAGAAGTAGGACCTATTCAGTTTTATGTCCTGTGAGAGCAGGATGAACAGTATGAGTTTCCAAATGAGTATGAGCTGTTGTGTCTTTTAGGGAAACGTTTATGTGAAGTGTCCCTCCATCCCGTCTGCCATGGCTGCTGTTAACGCCCTGCATGGGAGGTACTTTGGAGGTAAGATCTGCTGTCACATGACTCCTGTGGACCAATCAGAGAGCAGATCTGACTAATTCGATTTGGCCTGTTTCCAGGTAAAATAATCACGGCGGCATATGTACCCCTGCCCACTTACCACAACCTGTTCCCAGAGTCGGTCACTGCCACCCAGCTGCTGGTTCCACCTCCGAGACGGTGATCAACAGTACTGCCTTCTAATGGGCCCTGGACCATAGATGCTCTTTTTTAATTCTTTGCTCCTTTTGGACCATTTTCATCATTCGACTGCCTGTAGAGGGCACTAATTATATATTTGTTTTATTCTGGACATAAACAACTGACTCTCCTCCTATTGGCCGCTTCCAAACACTTTTCACATGATCAAAGCATCTACTTCCTGATCCCTTAGTTTCATTGATGTGGCCCCGTCCCTCAGTGTGTCCTCCAGGTATTGGCTCTGTGAGCTGGGCGAGGGCGTGGCAACAGCAAGCTGTCGACTGATCGGTTCCTCTGAAACAGTTTAGTATTTAAGTGTTTTTTCTAATGTTAATTTGATTTTGTAAAATGATTGATTAAAAATTATTTTCATGTCACTCTGAAATGTAACAGCATGATTTCTGTCTCCTGATTGGCTGGAAGGTAGGTACTTGGGATGTGTTTTTTTTTTTTTTTTTTTTTTTTTTTTTTTTTTTTCCTGAGACACTAGCTGTTTTTTCATTACAAGTGTGTGCAAAACAATTTTGAAAAGTTTTGCCATTTCAGTATTTCTATTAAAATGCAAAAAATTAAAATTGCACACGAATACATTTGTTCACACGATAACTCTGGGGGAAAAAAAACATGGGAGCGGTGAATACAAGATATATCTATATTTCAGCCACGGCTCTAGTTGGCGCCATTATCCTCTGAATACTTCTGGTCTTGTTCTTCTTTTTACAAAGCATTAAGGTCCAGTTCACTGATCTCTATTTATTAAATGGATTGCTGATAACCCGAAAAAGTGAAGCCATCGGCCGCCATATTGGTACTCTTCACTCCCACGGAGATGCTCAGTAAAAATGCCTGCATTTGTAGCATTTGAGTGCAAAAACAAGCAGTTACTGGCTGTGGGAAGATGTTTCACAGGTAATTTCCAAGTCAGTGGGTGTAATAACCAGGAAAGTCTATATATATATATACACCGATGTATCCCATAGCAAAGTATGTAGCTTAACATTAGTCAGGCTATTTCTGACTGACTCGAAGATATTGACCGAGTTAGCCATTGAGATAGTGTCTAATGTTAGAAAAAAAAAAGTGGAGTAAAAATAAAGTAAATCATGTCAATGTAGTAATTCTTAAGTGGATGACACACTCCTTTTTGTAGTGCTTGCTGTATTTCTCATTTGAAAAAGTCATGTGCCAAAACGTATGTTACATTGACGGAAAAAAAAGCAACTCAAAAATTTTTAAAGGCTAACGCACAGACACAGCATAAAATTATACATCATTCATTCATAATTTGCAAAGAGGAAAATACTACAGCATTAACAGACATATCCTTGTAAATCAGTGCTGATGTAAAATTTTGAAATCATATGTAATATGTAATCACCATAATGTCATCAATACATGTATATTACAGTTACA